ATACTGAAACTCTTTAGCAGAGCTTCTGCATTTTAATCTGGAATTCTAGATTTCAAAATTTTCAATTTATGTTCTCCATACTCATTCTTCCGTGCCTTTATTTATAGGCTTCTTGGATTAATAGGATGTTGATATGTGTCATATCTTGATAATGACATAATTATAACTGGGCTGGACCGATTATATTGTGATAATTATTCATAAATTTTTTTAGTGTTTTATTGAAACTATTTTTATAAAAACTGTTTTTATATTAATAAATAAATAAATACTGAAATAATGAAATACTGAAATACTTTGCACATTTAATAATAGTATAAATATATATTATATGTTATGAATTAAAGAGGGGAGAAGGAAAATGCTTTGAAACTTTGACAACCTTATATATTATCAACTGTTGTTCTCTCTATTTTTTCTTCTCATATCATTTGTAGACATGTACTTAAAACTATACATTAAAAGTATAGGAAAAAATAGTTTTATTTATTTTATTTTATACATTAAAATCAAATTTAATATTGTACAGTTTGGCCCCCTAAAGTAGTGTTGCTGGTTTCACCCCACCGAAAGACAATAGAGCGAGTAGGTATTGAACGGATTTTCCTAATAATTGAATCTAACAACTACAAAAACATCATACATCTACTTGAACCTCTATAATGACAACTTCTTCATTTGGCCTCGTTTGTTTGAGTGTAAAATATTTTTCAACGAATTTTCCTAATGATTGAATCTAATAACTACAAAAACATCATACATCTACTTGAACCTCTATAATGACAACTTCTTTATTTGGCCTCGTTTGTTTGAGTGTAAAATATTTTTTGTATTTTCTGGTACTTGATTGTCGTAAGATGTTTAGGAAAAAAAAAATAATACGATTAAAACTTAACAATAATAACTTATGCATTAATTTACGATAAGCTATTTTATACACCTTACCCGATGGACTCGACCTAGATTTTTGCTAAATACAGAAAAATAAAGTTAAAAAACATATATTTTACTTGAAAAAATATATATATATATTTTTCGAAGTAAATATTTTATGAGAGGACCTTTAATACCATAACATGTAAGAAACTAGAGGTGTTTTTATTTCGATTGTATATATGGCATTGTCGTGTTTTCCGAACAGGCATGTATCCCTGTAGTAAAAAAAATCATATAATAAGAACAAGTAGAAGTCCTTACCTGCAGGTTTGGATTTTTTCTCTAGTGGACTCAAGTTTTTAAAATGGTAGGCTCTTGTATCCAATCTAGGGTGGCGGTATAAGATACTGTGCTTGATGGTACGGGAAGCAGCAAGCACATGAGAAGGTGTGTTTTCATCAATGTCTTCGTGATTTATAAGGCTTTTGGCGAAGGAATTTGTCAATATAAATTTGATTACATTCCTTTTTTTATGCTCTGCTGCAATGTGGAAGCATATTCCGACCTTTGTTGTTGATCATGTCCCTCTGGACAATGTGAGAATAGTTCTTTCATAATATCTACATGACCTTGAGAAGCTGTTTTATGAAGTGCTGTCACATTGTCATCTTTGTCTGTAACACGGTATGCCGTGGATTTATCCAAATCAAGTATTTGTCTGACCGCCGATAAATGGCCAAGCCATGCCGCACATTGAATTGGTCTCCATCCATAGACATCCGCTTCCTTGCTAAGTGATGGCGTCCACCTGTATAAAATTCTTACGCATTCTAAAAGAGAACCTCATATATATAATTATCAGCTCATACTACAAAATAAAAACAAAATATTATATACCAATAGAACATTTTAGGAATCCTTGTTCAATTCTGTACTAAAACATGATAACTTGAGCACAACCTTATATATATTTGTGTTAATTTGACACGCCTATGGTTTTGTAATTTTTTTTTATTCTCTTCTAAAAGCTTTAATATATAGATATAAAATAAAACAAACTACAGATGGAATATTTAGTTAGAGACTCTACCTTGGTCATAATCAATAGTTGCTGCGTGTAAAGCAGTTCTCTCATTTGGGCCGATATAAGCAAGTGAATTGCAATTTTTTAGAATTTTGGACACAATATCTGAATAACGTCTCTGGGTAGCAGGTAAAGTGTGAGTCTCCTTGGCATTATTGGAAAAATGTAAAAAACTGGGGTCTTCTTTCGTCAAAATCTCAACCATATCAACATGATTATTTCGCACATCGTACAAGGCCGTGTCACCATCCCCATTCATCACCCTCAACATCTCCATGGTAGCTCCAACGCCGCTTTCAAGGTCAATGCTTTTGTCTCTTGTGTTTGGCCTGAATCTCTTACGCATATATTCTTTTCATTAGATTTAAGTGATTATATAAAGCAATGATTTGTTGTGGGCTTTTTAAACTGGTTTTCATTAAAAATGAAGTCACTTAAATTATCCTGAAAGTAGTTTATAACAACCACAGTAGCCCACATGCACCAAGTCCTTGTAGTATATTTGAAAAGATTGCCATGCATTAGGGACATTAAAGTATTTCTCATCTTAATGACCCTCCTAAATCTGATGTTCACACATCTATTCATGTGTTCCATTAAGTTTAAGCTTATTAATCGAAGATTAGTTGGGAACTAATTAACCTAGTTTTCTTTAATATACGGTCTCCTCAATATAATAAAATATAGTCAATGGCTAGCCAACTCCTCTTAACTTATACACATCTATTCAACTAATCCATTATATTATTTATTTGGGAATTGGGATCAACATTTCATGTGAACCAACTTTGAATTTTTTATTTTTTATTTTTTTTCATAACATGCAAGCCTTACAAGGTTTTCTTCGAAATACAAACATTCGTTTGACACCGTAGAAACACAAGAAGTTTGTTTTTCGAATAACATTTATTCAACAAATTGTAACATGGTCAATTAAAGCCAAAATTGACATCGCAAGTTGGCTGTCATTTGGGTACGTAGCAATGATAATTTTATGTGAAGGCATCTTTCTTAGCAACCATAGGATATCTATGATCAGGCTTAACGTCGTCCAATATCAGCTGGGCTGTTGGGAGCGACGGAAGCATACGAATACAAAGATTAAATAAAAGTCAATAAAGTAATTACACATAAACACAAAATATACATGGTTTAGTTAAAATCGTCCAACATCCATGAATGATAAGAGATTCTGTGAGATATAAATTTGTAATTGGTAAATTTCGTTATCAAAACAAGTCCGATCGAGTTATAAATTTTTAGTTCAATTTGTCAACAATCAAGATCGGAAGAAAAATTGAAAAAGTGATCGTGTTCATACTTCAATACACTTCGGGGTGATGAAAACAATGTTTTAGGAATGTAAGAGAGTGTGTGACGACACTTTGGAGTTTTAAAATTGGTGTTTCTCAAGTCTGGCTATATTTCTTGAACTGATTCAACCACCCTAAACCAGTTCACGTGTCAATGTTGTTTTCCTCGAAAATTCAATGGCCAACTTAAACTGGTTCAACCACCTTGAACCGGTTCAAATGTCAAAAATTATTTTCTTCGAAAACTCACTGGCTAACTTGAACCAGTTCAATCACTCAGAATCGGTTTGAGGTCTTCAAACAATTTTCGTAACTTCGTTTCTTTGACTTGTTTTCCAAGTACAATTAGGTTTTCAAAAGTCTAAAAAAACATGCTTTCTTACTTAGTATTTCATGGCTTTTTGCATAGAAAATTCTGATTTAATTGAGAGCCATCTTTATGAGATTTTTATTCAGAAAATCAATCTAATTTTTCTGATTTTCTTTTTGAGAGTACACACATAAACGCAAGAGTGATTTAGTAGTGTTGTTCTCTATCTCATTGGAATTGGAGCACAATTGAAGATTTAGAGATTCCGAAAAGCAGAATTCATTCATTCTTCATCAAATTCAAATTTGAAGAAAATGGGTAATGCGATCACACTTTAAAGGGGTCACAACATTCATGGAGTGTTGTTTGATCTACCTGTAACCCTTCTATACAGATCAAGAGTAAATCTAAGGTCGAGAGTTGTTGGACGGGGGAGTCGCAAAGTCAGGGAAGCTGACTTATATTTTTAAGGGGGTTGACAAAGAGTAGAAAAGGCTAGGTTATGAAGGTAGCTTGAGTAGTTTGATTCTTGTTCTATGAATAGTGCTAGCCTATCTCTAATTTGGCAAGTGTATATATATCTATCACCGTTAATTTGGTAATTAAAAAGAACATAACCATTTATTATTGGTCTACATCACTGGTTAAGATGGTGTACATTATCACTGGTGAGAACTTAAGCATTGTCCTATTTTTAATGCAACCATATTTAATAGGCTACAAGGAATCTTAATCTATATAAGAGAAAAGATGCTTGGAAGATTTTTTAATTTTTAATTTTTATTTTCAAAGGTTAGATAGATATGCTTAAAACCCACATAAACAACAAACATTTCATATCCAATGTATCATTATATATAATAATAATAATAATAATAATAATAATAATAATAATACTGTAATAATAATAATATTGATGGAACACATGAACAGATCCGTGAAAATGAGGTTTTAGACCTCGTTAAAATATAAAATGTGGGTCATGAAAATGGTTTAAAAAAAGACTAGTTTAAATTGCACCTGCGAGTCTTCAAATAAAGTTAATTAACTGACAGAAGAGGCAGGCGCTTATGCATAGAACTGGCCAGAAACAGCCGGTCCAGTCGCGTGCACTTGCTGGTTTTTTTTAATATGAAAAAACAAACCTCATCTTTTACATCGTGCAATTGGTAATGTGCTCCCGACGTCACTCATCCAAACCTCATCTTCTATCAATCTACCTTAGATGGGACAATTTTTTATGTTTGTTGGTTAGCTAGTTAATACTTTAACAATACAAAATAAACAGAATTATAATTATCATGAACTCACATATTATATGTTTCTTGTTCGGTATATAGATTTCTCAAAGCAAAGTTTGGTGGACTGCAGGAAACCCTCAAATATACCATCCATTTCGGAGCTTTAAGGATTCCTTATGGCACCGAATCATCCGCGTTTCGGACCCTTTGGAGCCCAGGTAGGAAATGAATGGAATGATGGAACACACAACGACGTAAGGAAAATTAAAATACGCTATGGTGAAAAATCAGTGATCTACTCCATCCAATTTCAGTATCTGAACCGAAAGCCAATATGGAATGACCAGCACGGTGAAAATGGTGGAGATCAAAAAGAAGCATTGGTTAGTCCCTTCGAAAATTTGCAATTTGAGCTATCAAATATGTGACTCATACAATTTATTATTATTATTATTATTTTATTTTTGTACGTACTTCTCATCTTTTGTACTTCTCATGAGATTTTATTTTTGCATCTCGATTTTTCACTGCCTATATCCTTTTATAAAATGAAAAGAAAAAATGAAAAATCTCATGAGTTAAGACTACAAAATTTAACCAAACTAAGCCACGTTTTAGCGTATATATATAGAGTATAAAAGTGTTTCTTTTATCTATATTTAATTATTAGTTATAAGAATAAGTAAATCAGTTAATCCCTTCCTTTGATTAATTATAATTAGCTATTACCACTACATTTGGCTAATCTAATATATATATATATATATCTATCTTTTGGAGTACTTACCCACAAAATAACAATCCTTTACTTTTTAAGAGCAACCAAGACTAGTTTTGTAAAGATTGATCTGATTGTTGTGGTGGTGCGTATATATAGGTCGAATTTCAACAGAATGAACATATCGAGTCAATCTGGGGCTACTATAGTTCAAATTCTGGAGTTGAATGTGTTCAATCTCTCACAATTAAAAGCACTAGCGAACAAACATGGGGACCATATGGCACAGAGAAGGGAAAATATTTCAAAATTCCATCCACACGTAATTGCAAAATTGTAGGATTCTTTGGATGGTCTGGTGACTATCTTTATTCCCTTGGAGCGCTTTTCCATCTCTCAAATGCACAATTCATACGACGCAAAATTGTTGGGCCTCTGGGAGGCTACAGTGGAGTTCATTGGGACGATGGTATTCACAGTGGAGTGAAGAAGATTACCATATGGGCCGAAGAATTCGTTAAATCCATACAAATTGAGTATTCTGGCAATAGTGGACCGCTTTGCACGCATGGAGAAATTACTGACGGAAACCCTGATCCGGTTAGTCCATTATATATATATATATATATATCTTCCATTTTATATTTGTACATACAAACACATATATTTCATTAATTGGCTAATTAAGCGCGACACATATATATATATATATATATATATATATATATATATATCGTTTTGTTAATAATTTTGTGAATCGGACTCTTGTAGATTCCATTTAACGAAGACAATGGATATCTGGTTTCCATCGAGGGCTTCTATAATTCGGATTCTGCAATAGGTGCGATTCAGTCACTCACATTTCATACCAGTACAGGAGAATCACATGGACCTTTTGGCACTGAAATAGGGAAACATTTCAAGTTTCCATCACCAGCTTCTTCCAAGAAGATTATTGGACTCCATGGAAGGTCCGGTCCTGATCATCTTGAGTCAATTGGTGCATATTACGAACCAGCTGATAACTTCACACCTGTTGGACCAGAAGGTGGGAAAGGCGGAATTGGATGGGATGATGGCAATCAGTACAGTGCGGTGAGGCAGTTAATAATACATTCAGATCATGACAATGAGCACAGTGCGGTAATTAACTCCATCCAAATTGAATATGATGATGAATTTGGAATCTCCGAGTGGTGTAAGAAACATGGTGGTGAAAGCAAAGAGGGTACCAAACCCACCAAGGTTAGAATAGCCTGTCTCTAGATATACTACATTACAATTTATGTTACAATCTACATACATACATACATTAATTTCTGTATCGAAAGTAGTCATTAATTTGATGCTTATTCATATTTTATATACACATGCTCTTATATATGCAGATCTTGTCGATACCAACAGCATTAATTGTTTATTAACCTGTTTTGTCAATTATCTTAACTCTTGCAGTTCATACTAGACCATGACGAATATTTGACTTCAATTGGTGGGATCGTCAGGCAGTATGGTGATGTTGATTGTGTTGTTTGCTCCCTTACATTTCAAACCAACAAGAAAACATTTTCAACAGTTGGTGTGCAAGGAGAGGTTAATAGTTTCGAGCTTTCTGAAAATGGTAAGAAGATCATTGGATTTCATGGGAGGTCTGGAGATTGGCTTGATTCCATCGGGGCACATCTTGGGCCAATTTAGATGACCCATCCAACCTTTGAGCCACTTTATAGCTGCTACTTATGTATTAATTAGACCAATAAACCAGTGTTTGCATGCATTGGATGTGTGAGAATAATGGATGCTCTGTGTTGTCCCTACTAAAGCTAGATAGGCCAAAGTAGTGAAGGCAACACAAAGTTGCTTCCAAGTGTGTGATTTTATTGTGTGCTAGCTACATACGCCTGTATGTTTGGTTTGATGTTGTATCCATCTTGTAAAAATATGTTGTCCCTGATTTTGTTTATAAATAAAAGTTGGTGTGTTTTAATATTACATGCAACTTCTTTGTTGCGTTGTGTGATTTATATATTATCTTTTTACATCATATATATCTTGTATAAAACATCAATATGATGACTTTTTTTTGCCTCAACTTTGTTTCTTCCATGACAAATATTAAAAACGAAAACATTATTCAAACCAAAAAATTAATTCATAATTAAAATAAATATTTGGATATTTTTAATTTTTCAAAAGAAGTTTTAAATAAAACAAAAAATGGTCATATCCACATAACTAAAAACATATGCAAGGCGAGGATTGTTTTAAAAATTTTGTTCTCATAAAAAAATATTCATGCATTGAATAGATTATTTCACTAAACTATTATAACTCTAGCATGGCTCTCAAACTTGCCCGCTGAGCTTATAAGAAAAAACAAAGGAAATCGAAAAAACTTAAATGCTCTGAAAAAATAATTAATAATCATCATTTTCACATTTTAATTCCAATACAAAATTACTTTTCTTGTATGAAATTCCAAAGACACAAATTCTATACAAACGAATACGAATTTCAACCGACTCCTTGTATATTTTTCGCCAGACTCCTCGTATAATTATCAATGAAATGAACTTATCAATTTTTAAAATTTTCTCTTTCCTTTCTAGTTGTTTCTACCTAATCAAACAAAGTCTATATAAGTATGTGTACAGTTATAAAAGCGTGTTTGTCATCTATTTGTGTTATAGACATCGATAACCTGCCATATTCAAGTCTAGCCTTTTTAGATATATTGATTGATGCCGAATTATTTGTTGTGCCATCTATATTTACATATATTTATATGTTTAGTGAAAGAGAAATGGTAGGTTTTAATTGATAGACATTTGAATTATTTGAACTGTCATGTTTCTAGAATTATCTTTTTAATTTCCAAGGTTGTTCTTGTACTGGTAGTTGTGTTTTTCTCTGCTCTGTTAAATAGTTAAATATAATTGTATATGCACTTGTATTTATTTGGGAAAGATTTGTATTATTTTTAGTACTCTAAGTTGACTATAACGCTTTACCATGACAGTGTATCATTTAGAGAAATATGAACAAGAATAAAAAATGTATTGAAAAATATAAATGCATGTTCTATTTTAAGGAGTCTAATTTAAGATTATGAATTTTAAAAAAATATGATTGTAATTTATTTAGCTACGTCCCAGCGGCAAGCTTATCTTTGGCGACTTCAAGCTTCAAGCTCCAAGCTCGGCGACTTCAAGCTTCAAGCTCCAAGCTCCAAACTCAGGTAACTACAACCTCACCTCGTCGCCCCACCTCGCCTACCCCCGCGTCGGTCCGGCATGAAGGGTAGTCACCAGGGGTTTACTCCAGCGAGCTGGTGCGGCTCGAGGCGGAGCTTGTGCACAAATGGCATAAAACGGTTATCCATTTTTGGTCAATGCACTAATTGTTCTGTCCTGGCTCTATAGGCTTCAATCATTGACTAATATTCCATAACCAAAAAAAACATTTTGCAAGTGAAACAGAGCGCAAAATAGACCACACATGCATTCTCCTCAAATATCATCGTATGGATAACAAACATAGAGAATGGTTACCTTGTCCAAACAGAGATTTCTCAATGGCTCACCATTGAAATACTTCAGTCCTCCGTCACCAATCTTCACTTGGCACAAAGTGGTGTGGTTTAAGCATCACATCCCTAAGCATAGCCTCATCCTTTGGCTGGCTGTAAGAGGAAGGCTTTACACACTTGATGCCAAACCTATCCTGTACAAGCACTACACAAATAGGTGCTACCTCTGTAAGGCAGATTGGGAGTCTATTGATCACATTTTCTTCAAGTGTGACTACTCCTCTAACATATGGAAGTTTGTTCAAGAAGTGGCTGGGTTCTACATCAGACCTAACAGCTGGAATGACATGATCCAATGGTGCTCCACACACTGGTTATCAGCAGATTGCTTAGTCCATAAGCTGTTGTGGGCAGCTGCAGTATATTTTATTTGAATGGAAAGAAATGCTAGAGCCTTTAGTAACCAAGCAACACCCTATCACAGCCATGGTTGTTAAAATCGCGATTCTGAGTCGTAGAATCGCATGATTCTACGACTCAGCTCTTAAAATCGACTCAAATCGGAGCAGAATCGCCCAATTGGTAGAATGATTCTACGACTCAGCTCTTAAAATCGACTCAAATCGGATCAGAATCGCCCAATTGGTAGAATCGTACGATTCTACACGATTCTACCAAAATGTGTGTTTGGGCGGGTCTTTATACTATTTGGTCTTTGGGCCTTTATTCTTTTAGTTGTTTGGGCCAAAGCCTGGCCCAAATTTTGTATAGAAAGTTATTTTAATTTACCAAATTATATATTTAATTATTTATTCTATAAATCATAAAATACAAAACCTACTCTATTATAGAATTAGAAAATAGAAACGGGAACCCTATCTCAGAGAGGAGTGAGGACTGAGAGGAGGCGGCAGTGCAGAGGCTGATAGCGAGCAGATCGGAATCATCGGATCCATACAGCAGCTTACAGGTTCGACCAGGTATGTTCTATATTTATTTTCTTCCTTGATCAAGAAATTTCAAGAGTTTTCTCTAATCTCTATAACCCTTCGTAGCTTGATTATTCTAAGATTGTTCTAACCTTGATTATTCCTTGATTATTCTAACCTTTTATCTACTTGTTCTTAGAAATTATTCATCATGTTCCTGATAATCTTTTGCATTAATGGTTTAATTTTAGTTTTAATTTTAAGTTCTAACTATCTTTTCCAATTTCTGTAGTTTTTGTTTTAAGTTTACCTGGCAATTTAAATTTTTATCACTATTTTTTAGAGCTTTTACTATGGCTAATTGAGCTCTAGCTGAACTGCTGTGACCACTTCTATTGAAATTTATGCAATACTTGGAGTATGAACATCATCTTTAAGTTCTGGTAGATGTACTCTTATCAGTTGAATCCATATAAATGAAGACGAGTTTGCTATGTTTTAATATGTTGTTCATAAGATATGGTGTAGCAGTTGGCATGGTAATATTTTTTACTGCAAGAATTTCTTTGATGGCATCTCGCTCTCTCTCATTTTCTGGTTCAGTAAGTTTGTTCGTGTTATGTTTTATCTTTACCTGCATTTCATGCTCTGTTTTCTGTTGCTCCGTTTGTCTTTCACACTTGGAATTCCAAAAGTCCATTTCCTCTCTCTCTCAGATTTACTTTGATACTGTATCATGAACGAATGGTAGATCTCTCCCTGGTTCTTATCTAGTTGAAGGGTTCAATGATGACTTTATGGACATGTAATTTTAGTTTCTAACTTTGGAGAGGGATGAGTTAGGATTTGAGATTTGTGGACTATGTTATTTTGTGTCACATCCTCTTGTATTTATATTCAAACTTTGGAATATTTTCTTTTACTTTTATTTATATTCGGACTTTAGAATATTGCTAGGATTTGAGATTTGAAGTCATGGATATGTAATATGGTGTGTTTTGGCCTTATTTTGGTTATATTTTACATATCTTATTGTTTAGGAAGTTAGTTTCAATTATTTTTTCACAATTTGGTAGAATCTTACGATTCACGATCCGATTATACGATTCCGATTCTACGGAGCCCAAAACGATTCTACGTAGAATCCTGATTTTAACAACCTTGATCACAGCATCATTGCACAAGTTAAAAACTGTGTGAGAGCCAGACTAGCAACACTCAAGTTAAAATCCAGCTCTGACATGATGATGATCAACTCACCCTCTCAGCTACAATCTCTCTTTCAGCAAGGATGTTACACACCATGTGGACAAACCTTGCTCCTACCCTGAGCTATGTTGATGAGAAGGCTTTATTGGAATGCTGCTGTGAGGCTATGTAGTCATTATTTGCTGCTATTTGCTGCTGTGAAGGTGGTAGTTTGAATGGATGGTTTTACTTTGGAATATTTTGTATGTAGCAGTTTCAAAATTCGTTTTGGTTGTAACCTATTTGTTGTTGGTCTTCCCCATTTGGGGCTCACTGTAAATTCTTCATCCTTATATACAAGCTTACCTTTAACGGGGAAAAAAAAAAAAAAAAAAAAAAAAAAAAAACATAGAGAAGATATCCAAATAATCCGCACACAAAATCGAAACCTTTGTACAAAGATTATATAATCAAGGATTAAATGGCATTGTTCTAAGCTTTTAGTAACATCCCATGATGGCTGGCCCCAATTTTCTAACTTCAGTTTCAATGACTGAGTTTCCATTGGGATGCTTGTTGGCTGTAATTTCAACCAACTAAATAATTTCTAAGTGAAGAGAGGAGAGAAACAAATATTGTATTGTATTGAATTCTTTGTTATGTTGATATCTCTTAATAACAAATCCCTTACACTATATATACTATTATCCCATAGACCTTTGAACTTTCCAAGACAATTCTCAACCACACACATGATACGTGCACTCACTTGATACATGTACACACTTGATACATGTACCCACTTGATACATGAATAAACCCAAGATGCACAATGAACATGCATGGCATTAATTTATTTTTAACACACCCCTCTTAATGCCATGTTGTGACACCCAACAATTCTCTGAAGTATTCAAACTTATCTCTTGGAAGTGCTTTGGTGAAGATGTCCACATCTTGGTCTTCGGTCTTGCAATACTTGAGTTGAATCTCATCCTCTTCCTTTTCTTCTTGAATTTATTCCTTGCCACTTCTTTAATTGCATTTTCAAACCTCTTCAGCTCAACAACACAAAAATTGCAACTTGTATACACATCACGAAGACTTTTCATTCTTCTTGGAGTTGAACTTGGAGATGACAAATTTGAGTTTGATGGAGAAGTTGGGATTGATTGTAAGCTAGATACGGGAGACATTTCTTGTGGAACTTCGAGAATATCTTCATTTTCATTTTCTTGATTTCCTGATTCTTCATTGAAAATGGGAATTTGATCTTGAACTTTCTTCTCTTTCCAATCCCAAGCAGCCTTTTCATTAAAGAGAACATCTCTACAAATAATAAATTT